CACTGCGATTGAATCTGAAGATTCAATAGTTTCCCGAGCCCAACCCAATACCGACGAGCTGCTTACCCAAACGCGCCAGTCTTTGAACTATGCTAAATAAGCTTCTCAGAGCATGCCCGGTTGTGAACGTCTGACTGAAACAGGTTTCAGTCCCAGCAGCAAATTTTCCATCAGATACGGCGGCATAAGCAGAGAACGCTCACAGGATAGCAATGTGACCTAGCCACCAGCCCATCAGATCACGACCCCATCAGGTCACGACCCCACCAGGTCACTAACCCACCAGGTCACCAACCCATCAGGTCACCAACTCATCAGGTCACTACCCCATCAGGTCACCACCCCATCAGGACACTACCCCACGAGCCTACGAGGTCACTCCCCCACCTGCCCGTCCATTCCCCGTCAGCCATCCGGCTCTGCTGCCGACCGGTGGAGGGGCCCGGCTCCTCACTGCGCTGTATCTCCGGCACGGAGGACTGATGGACATTGAGTGAGCGCTGCCGGAAGCCCTGTCTGGCAGATAGACAGCCGCCCCGGGCACCAATTGGGAACACCCGCCGCGCCGGCCTGTCCACCCGAACAGCACGTGGTTGGGATGGGTGAGGAGCCACACAGGCCAGTGAACCCGAACGAGGGAATACAGACATCCATTTTTTAGGAGTTCAGCCTTTGAGGCTTCCCAACAGACGCCCGATTCCCGAACATATTCGTCCCACGTTACCGGCAATGTATGAACGAATGCTACAAAAACGACAGACAACAGTTATTTATTCATCGAATACTTCTGGGTCGGCGCGCACGCCGGGGGACCGCTCGATAAATAAATCCCCACCATGCCGTTTATGGCATACTCAAAGAGCCATTCGATATCCGACCCCGTCGAACGTGCCCCGGGCGAGTTGACGGCACGTCAGCGACCAACGACAGCCGCTGCTCGCCGAGCTCCGACTCCAATCACAATCAAACTAAAACAATTCATTGCAAGCCGACCCGGCGCGCCTGCTCTACGCCGCCGTTCGACGAAATAAACTCGGACGACCGCACTCAATCGGAAACCATCCGCGCCGCTGCCGGAGGCGAACAGCACAACTTCTCCGGACTACGGCGGCAGTTCCGGCGCGACACAGACGACGGCGACGCGTCGAAAACGTCGCCGGCGCGGCGTCAGTGTCTCCAGCCGATCGGCCGTCTGTGGTGAGCTATGACGAACCGTGGCGCGCCAGATTGCCTCCGAAACCCACTAACGCGGCGCGGCGCGGCGACGGACGCGGTGTGGACGAGACGATCCCAGCGCGGTGCGCGGGCGGACAGTCGTCTCCGCTCCCAACGGACGCAATCTGTGTAATGGGGCAGACGGCTGCCGCCACAGGCCCGCCGCGGTGGCGCCGCAGGCCGGCAGGAGGGAGCCGACGGGGAACGGCCCCTGCCACAGACGACCATCGGAGGAGCTCTTCCTCACATCCACTCGGGACAGCTTATCACTATTGATAGCGCCCAATTCCCAGCACTACACCTCCCGCCGCCACAAGAAACCACCCCGACCCCGGGGGTCCTCCCACCCCACGTATTGTACCGCGGCGCTTTCTTCTGTCACGCGTCTAACGAACAGCCATCAGCGTCCGCGCCACCCCGGTCAATGAGGCTGACACCCGGCGTGGCGCCCTGCCATCAGCCACCATCCATACAGAGCGCGTCTGTCGGTACATCGCCGGCGTCACAGCGGCCCACACACGCCGCTCCCACCGCCAGGCATGCAATAAACAAAAGCTCAGCTCGGCAGCATGCTAAACAGAGCCGCTCGGCGTTCTCAGTTTGTTTTGTTAACGATGCAAGCGCGTTTCGAATCACCAAAGAATCATGACCCGTTTCCGCTTCGTGCCCCGGCATTCGGCTCGGGAGGATAACACTCTCTTGGGTGCGAAGGGATGTAGAAGATTTACGTCCGCGCCTATCAGGCATCCCAGCTCGAGTTTCTGATCAGCGCCGGCTCCTGTTCAATTCACGTTCGGTCCAAATTGGACGCCGTGGAGTAGCGCGTTCGGCCACCAAGTTCGGGTCACGGAATCCACTGGGGCCGACCGCGCGGGCTCGACCACGATATATAACCACTCAATCAACCCTCAGATATACCCAAAGGAAACGGACTCGGCCGTAAACCCGAGAAAGGCCATGGAGTCACACCGGCGATAGCCGACCAATAAAATTAGCTGAACATTCAGATAGTTCGGAGGGGACGGCTGACCGAGAATTAACCCATTTTTAGGATAAATAGCCCACACTGCCACCGTTTATCGGGCACTTAAGCAAGTCTCGGAAGATAACAAGGAGATAGAGACATGCCCGGGGGCGGCGCTGGGGCAAGGAAGGGCTATCGGATGTATAATCTGTAACAAATGTTACCTAACCTCATTCCCACCATCAAAAGAAGTTGCTCCAGAAAAGTGAACGTTAAACGAAAAGTGAGGTTGCAAAAGAGTGTCTGATGCCTTGGAGGGATGGTGTCTTGGAACTATATAGTGCAATCGAGGGGAACCTAAAACAACGATTATGCACCAAGGAACGTTAACCCAATTCGGCGAGACGAAACAAAAAAGCTAACATTATGCAAGTGCATATAAGTTTACACAGTCTCATGGTAATCATAGTGCGGGTGGTTATCAGCGGTGTTAGATGGTGAGTGCCTACTCACAGCTATCTTGGATGAATGCAGCATGGCTGGAAACTATTCGACAGGGAAGGACTGGCGAGGTGTCAGGTGGTCGCTAGGTTTGTGCAGCAGGAGACCCGCATAGGAGGAGGTCTGAAGAAGACGGATGGTGGGTGGAGGCTGCAGTAACCCCGTGTAGACCAGCCGGGACCTGGTCCACCGCACCATTGCAGCGCTGTGGGAGCCCGCTGGGTACCTGGGACGCCCAGACTGCCTCCCAGCAGGAGCCCACTGACCACTGGGTGGGGGCCGCGGCTGCAGTCCGGGACAGGGGGGGGGGGGGGGTGCAGCTCTCCGATCGGTATCGGTCTGTTAGCTGGCAGCACAATTGGCTCACACCATGCAGAGGTGGACCACCCACCGCCGCCACGCGGTCCACGCTGCAGCATTGTTCGCCCGCCGATACACACGCGTGGAGACCCGCATTGGCAGTCAACAGACTGGTAAAGGACGAGATAGGGGGGAGGGGGAGGGGGAGAGAGAGAGAGAGAGAGAGAGAGAGAGAGAGAGAGAGAGAGAGAGAGAGAGAGAGAGAGAGAGCGAGAGAGAGAGAGAGAGAGAGAGAGAGAGAGAGAGAGAGAGAGAGAGAGAGAGAGAGAGAGAGAGAGAGAGAGAGAGAGAGAGAGACGAGCTGAGGGCCGATACCGACTGCGGCGGTGGCGGTTGAGAGGCGATACCTGCCTACATCGGAGAGTGAGAAGCGGAGATGGCATCGGCCAATACCTGCGTCTTTTGTCCAGCGACGAAGTGGAAAGCGAGAAGCGACAAACAGGCACGAAAAAGAAGAAAGAGATGTGGTAAACAACAATCGACGATAGTATTGCATCAAACGTCAGATAATAGGAGTCTACCCTTTTCGGCAATCGATCGATCCAATGCCGATGCCTTTTCACGACCATTTAAGTCATCAAACAGACACAAAGTATGGATCACCAATGACAATCCGAAGCGGAGCGCATTGAAACGGCGCTGGTGATCACTCAAGCCTCTGGTGACCACTCAAGCCTGTACCAGATGGGCGCTGCGAACAAGACCAGCTTCGCTCAACCGTCCAACGCCGGCGCAGCATAACCGGCACGGAGTTATGACTCACTCAACTCTGAGAGGGAGTGATCGACTCGCAGCGCCACCCGCCATCGAGGGGAGTGAGTCACCACTATCGCTCCAATCGCCGCCGAATCGTCGCTCTGCCTTTAGACTCGCGGGGTGCATTGCCATAAATCTGAGAGCACCGCGCCCGCGCCGCCGGCCGGCCCGAGCTAAACGAGATATCATTTCGCGCAGCGGCCCCAGTCTCCGCGTAAGACGGCCGACAAGATAAGGTCAGAGGTAAGCAACCGGCTTTCATATGCAAATTGTTATTTCTCCATGAGGCTGACACTGACGAGACGGGCCGCCGGGTTTCTATGCTAATCAGTCATCATACACCGGGCAAACTCCGTGTATGCCGTGAAACATGCCCGCTCGACGACGGCCCGCTCTGCCTGGCGACTCGGCGCGGATTAGGCCAGCTCATTTGGCCCGTAACTTGTACACGGAGCTGGTGACGGCCCCCGAGGGTCAGCTTCCGAGAAACGGAGCTGCCACCGAGAACACTTGACCGTTGGCAGACACTGCAGGAACGCAGAGACACCCTAGCCATTCAAACGACCAAACATTTGTCGGAAAATGACCACATCGCCTCGGCTGTATTCACCCCTTGTGTGGATTTCTCTCCCTTCCCGCAGACAAAGTGTCATCACTGAGGGAACCATTCGTACGAGTTGCCCCACCATTGAGCCAGGAAACTGCAACCGAAATGTGACAACTTTGAAATTGAGGTCGTCCAGAGTACGTCATCGCGGGGCACAGCCAGCAGTTTTCTTCTCCGTAAATAAAACACAGGGCTCCGAAATAGAAAACCGAGCCGGGACAATGGCGGGTCTGCCGACTGCCCGCGGGCATGTCAAATGACGCCAGATTGTGTGTCCGACGGGCATTCATATGTCACACGGGCCAGCCCACAGAGGGCTCCGTTGTTGTTGGGACGCGGGCAGCTGCCAGCAAAATCGGCTTCCGCACGTTTCTAGTGCCAGGTCAGAGCCAACCAGATGACGGCGACGCAAGCCGTCAACGTCGGTCAAGATAGCATCGAAGCGCACGACGATTGGCGGAAACTTTCCAAACGATTAAACGATTGCCAAAGCTTCGGGATTCATCTAACGAGACAGCAAACAGAGGTTATTTACAGATGAAGCCCACAGATACTGCGTCTAGAAAGGTAGACTGTCGCAGTTTCAGCTGCACTCACCTCAAGAATATACCGTTCCTGAGTTTCCCTATCCAGCTTTCTTCGCGTTGTCGTGATCTCTCCTGTAACCAAACAACAAACCAGAGGTTAGCTAACACCGCCACCAACATACGCACAAACAATATACAGTAGGTGAACGGCGCTCACCGTGGGGTCGCGGGGCGCGCTGACGCCCACCCTCAATGTCATTACCTGCGGGGGCGGCCCGGGCCCGTGCTGCCGCATATGTGAACCAACAACTGCCACCACAAACGTGACCGTGTAAGCACGCCCGGCGCAGCCATGCGTGAGACTTTTCTTCCTGCGGGCGCTCCGGCCGTGGGCAGAGGATACAATAGGTTTCACTGAGGTTGCGCTACTGCTGTAAATCGTAACGCAAAAGAGTCGTTATTTCTAAAAGGTGCGATTACAGGGTAGTTCACTAAACGCAGCCACGGGAGAGCCACTTAGGGGTTATGCAACGCCCACCCTAGGTCCCACCATCAGGATGAAAACATACTTCGAGTAATTACGACGCACACTGACATATTGCAACAGAAAAACGACACGGGGTACATAGCTGCTCAGATAATTCGCAACGGAGCGATGCGAAATGAAGAGAGCCGTCTGTGTTACCGCGCGTTTGAGTGTGTGTGCGTGAGACAGGCGTTGCGCCAGACGATCCGACACTGGCTCATAGAGAGCTACAGTTATGCACGGCGGCATTTCAAAACAGGCCGCGAATGACGTCCATTTCACAACTGTTTAATGAGCGGCGTCCGAGCAGCTGCACAGGTCGACCGCGCCCCGCCACATCCTCCGTACCAACCAGTCTGCCACATCCGACCCCGGCCGGGCCATCATTGCACCAACGAGTCCCGGGACAGCACTCCGCAGCGTAACCTAGTCTGACCCGAGCCCGCCTGGCATAAAAACGTGGCACCATTCCAGCCCCAGTCGACTACAACAGACTAGCACCATTCCAGTAAACTTTTATCCGCACCAGCATTCCACCATCCTATGCTCCAGACCAGCACCAGCCTACGATACAACCAGCATCACACCAGACACCGACCCGACCAACCCTGCACCACCCACACCATCACCATCCCGTCTCCCCTTCGACCTGCACCAGTCTCCGCCCCGCCCCGCCCCTCTGCACTGGCTATCAAACGCTGCACGGCGACATCGGAGTCTGGCTAGCGGACCGAGAGCCGGCCGTATATTAGATTTGCAGCAGATGCTCCGGGACTGCGTACCCTGAATTACAGCTGGGAGGAGGCGGCCGCACGCAGGAAACTAGACGGCCAGCATGGCCGCCCGCAGAGATTCCATGGCGGGCGCCATGTTCGGCGCCGCACACAGCCGTTTGTTCTAATAAAGCTGACAGGACATTGCATTCACTCCGGTCTGAATCTCACAGTGGTCCAAAACAGGATCATCCCGACACATCACAACCGAAAGACGGGACAAAACACACTAACAGCTCGGCAGATGCTATCTTTCCCACTGCCACCTTCACACCAGCCCATCACACACAAAGGGTTATCCCACCACATACACCCCAGTCCCACCACACAGAGCCCCATCCCACCACCGACAGCCCATCATCACACAGCTTCGTCCCATCACTGCCAGCCTGTCCTCACACATACCGGTAGTGTCTCTCTCCCCGGGGACCCACGCCGAGTAGCAGAGTCTCTCCCTCCCCGGGGAGCACATACAAAAGGTCGCCAGAGCGGCAGACGGCGCTGCAGCCAGTCGGTACAGAGCAGTGTCCAGGCCGGCCAGAGTCGTGACACGGAGGCCGACTGGACCCCGGGGACAGATTACCGGAGAAAGGTCACAACAGAGGTGGCCGGCCGGCACACGGGCGGAACAGAGCACGGAACGTCTCACTGGGAGAGCTGTGAGAGCTTGGGAGGGAGAGAGGAGAGAGGAAGGGAGAGGGTAGGAGGGATGTGCCAGCGAGGGAGAGGGTGAACAGAGAAAGGATCCGGAAACAGGAAATCAAAAGAACCCCAGCATACACAAAAAAAAAAACGAGCGCATCCGCACGACTCTACAAGAATAGAGGCCGACTAAAAAAGTGGAGGGGAGAATGGAAAAGTCTAGCAACAGCCTGGGGAGACAACTCTGGCTCAATGCGAGATCTAAGGACCCGAGGGAGGGGAGAAGCCAAGCCATGGTTTGCGAAGAAGACCGCAGACTCCGGCGGAGTATTGTTCTCCCGGCAACCCTCCACTGTCCTTACTGTCTAGTGTCTAGTGTCTAGTGTCTATCGTCTGCCGTCTGCCGGGAACGGGATCACCGCCCATATAGCGAGCACACACAGTGCCAGCGGTAAGTGGGTTCACAGAGCACAGAGCACACACGCACCCATCGAGCGAGCGCGCAGAGTGCAGCGGCGTCGGCATAGCGAGCCCGCACCGAGAAAATACCGAGCAATTGTCGGCACAATCCTCAGAGTTACGGCGAATAAACGGGGCTGAACGGCTGCGTACGGAGCAACAGCTGAAAGAAAACAACGGAAATACAGACACCGGGCTAGAGCTGAGACTGAGAGCCAGGAGAGGACAGGAGAGGAGGCATCTCCGGCAAAGCTTAACATTTCGAGACGAAGACGCACACCTGCACCGCGTCAGTAACAAGCGCATTTAAATGCTTTCACCAAGGCCTACATATATGCCTCCATCCCTTCCCTCGCCATCCACCCTCGTCTGCAGCCGCCGATCGCACCCACCTGTTTTCGAGTTGATACTGAAGAGGCTCTGCGGGTTTCCGGCCGCTATGGAGTAGGTGAGCGGCCCGTCACCGTCCCTGTCGGTGGCGGTGACACGCGCCACGTGCGTACCGGCAGGGGAGTTCTCCAGCACCTCGGCGTGGTACACCGGCTCGGAGGTCAGTGGACAGTTGTCGTTAACGTCATCCACCTCGATGTACACCTGACGGAGAGGGAGAGAGGTGTTAGTGGTTTTAGTGATGGTGATAACTAGCAGTGTGGAAGCGAACTATGAGATACGTTAGAGCCCGGTGACTCAGACTGATATGGCCGTAATCACCGTAATCGCCACGTTATATGTGGGAGGCTTTTGATGTCAATACATACATACATGCATACATACATACATGGTATATAAGTAAGTCTGACTAAAATGGTAACAATATACAGGAGCTCATATTCGCGTATCATATTTGCCAAATTTTAATGTTATGCGCATTCATAGACCTCTGTACACCGTGTACAGAGTACAGAGGTCTATGGCGCATTGCTTCATTTATCTAAAAAAGCCAACAGCTAAAAAAGGCTCTTGACGAAAACAAGTCGGAAAATAACGTCTAACAGCTGTCTGTACCTCGGGACAGACTCGGGAAAGAGCAAACATGCACTAACGCCGGAGGCACATCAAAGCCCGCCAGCCACCGTGGATTACCATCGAGGTCTGAGCCCCCGTTTAGGCTGTCGTTAACCCTGCAACGGCGGTCTACAGGGCTCGTCAGCCCGGCGGCACACAAGGGGAGCGGTACCACGGGCGCCATCGTCAAGGTCCTGCTCATTACACGGCCACCGAGCTCGCTCTTTATAATTGCAACAAATGTCCGAGCGTGTTCATAAGCAGTATGAGCACCCAGCGGCGCCCGGAGAGCGGCAGGGAGGAGAAGGTAGAGAGAGAGGGATAGAAGGGCGAGAGAGAGAGAGAGAGAGAGAGAGAGAGAGAGAGAGGGAGAGAGAGAGAGAGGGAGAGAGGGAGAGAGGGAGAGAGAGGGAGAGAGGGGGGTAAGAAATGAAGGAAGACAGAAAGAAAGAAAGAAAGAAAAAAAGAAAGAAAGAAAGAAAGAAAGAAAGAAAGAAAGAAAGAAAGAAAGAAAGACACAGAACAGCTAGACAAACCGCCACCACGACGGGCCACCAGAAACAGAGACGCACAGCCGGCGGCGGTCGCCGGGCAGCCAGGACGGCTCCGGCGATGATGAGAGGGCTGCTCATCACTCCACTGCCCTTTCGGAGGTCCGTTCAGAGCCCTGATGGAGATGGACCGTGGCTCTCTGCGGCGCCGCGCTACACTGCTCTGCATCACCAGTTAATTAAGCACGGCTGCCGAGAACAAATGACAGGGCGGTCTCCAAACGGTGGCCTTCGTTCGCGGCGGGTGGCGGCCACAATGGGAGTGGAGCGCTGCCTCGCGCTACGAGAGATGCTGTGCTGCGCTGGGACCCACTGTCCTTTGCTCAGTCTCCCCACAGTGGCTCAAATGTACTGGCTCGTCCAGCTCGTGATGTGCTTTCTTAGCTACCAAGTGATGTGTTGTGCTGAGCCGCAATGTGTTATGCTATGCTGAGCTGTCCCGTGTTATGTGCTGCGCCGTCCCGAGGTGCGCTAAGCTGAGCCACGCTGTGTCGCGTTGCACTGTGCTGTGCTGTGTCGAGCCGCGCTGGGTTACACAGCACACCTGTGCCGTACCCGCACGCTGACCGGTCCCCTCCTCACCTCAATGCGCGCCGAGAGCGGCACGGCGCCGCCGTCCTTGGCGTACACGGTCAGCCAGTAGCTGGAGCGGCTCTCTCGATCCAGCACGTCCCTCGTGTAGATACCTGCAGCGAGAGAGACAGCACGGTCACACGCCTGTCCCGGGGCGGGGGCGGGGGCGGGGGCGGGGGCGGGGGCGGGGCGGCAGAGCAGAACACACCCGGCGGCCTCAGCGGCGCCCGTTACACACGTGATACATGATTAATGAGCGGTGATGACGATTGATGAACGATGAACAACGACCAGTGATCGATGGTAGGTACGGGTAGCCTGACAGTGCCCCGGCGACACCGTGACACTATAGAGCTATGGTGATAGCAGCTCGGCGACACGTGGGATATTGTTGCTGACCCCCATAGGTAACAGAGGGGGAGGAGCCCAGCACCACCCCTCGCACAGCGACCTTCCAAGGACGTCCATAATTGGATTCGTGTGTGCATGTTGTATGACGAGCAAGGTCTGCCCATTTGGAAACAACACCATTACGTTTATTGGCTTTAATGATATTCATGTATGCACAGACGCGTCACCATAGCCATGTTTCAAGCCAACAGTGGCCAAATGTGATAGACGGTTCAAGGCTAAACCTGTTAAACTGTTTATTGTTTTCATGTCATTCTTAACAAGCACCATCGCAAGGATTATAAGAGAATATGACAATGGTATCGTCGACATAGTGATCGAATCAACGTTCATTGTTAGAAGTCGAAATGTAGGCAATGGTTTTGTCATTTACGCAATGCAGTAAATACATGACTGGTTATTCTACTATTCCTTTTGTGTCTTTAACTAAACCAGGTCCCATTTCATTCAGCTCTGCAGTAACGTCTATCGGAACACTGCTAAAATCAATTCCGGCGTCGCGTTCCGTGCTGCCCGGTCAAGTATATGTCGCAATATTTAATAACCCTATAAAATCTGCAACGGCCGTTCGGCTGCAACGCTAGCGATCCGTTTTAGCGACCAAACTCGTAGCAATAAAACAAGGATCAAAACGAAGATGACAAATTAACCCATCACCCAGAAATTTCCAACTTTAATCGCCGTCTGAATGTCGCTCTGAGGTAGTTCTGGGTCAGGTCATGACCCCGGTCCGTGACCTCGGCTCCTGTCCGTCTCACCTATCTCCCGGACCGGCCGGGGCACCAGCAGGGCCGGCCAAATGGGCCATTGGCCCGAGAGGAGGCCGCTAAAATCCAATTACGATCGGAGTGGCGGGGCAATGTTTCACTCCGGCTGGCCAGCCGTCTGCCTCTCGGTGAGACAGCACAGGAGCGGGCCGGGAGGCAGAGGAGGCGAGCCTCTGAGACATAACCGCATGGGTTGTTTCTTCATTAGACAAACACTATTCGTACGGCTCTCTGTGAGGCAGACGTCATCAAACACAAGCTTCCCTGAGGAAGCAGCATCGCTATAGGAAAGGAGGCTGCTTTCAATGAGATCGGCGCCTAAAGGGGAACAGGTGGCCATCAGATAAGTAGTTTCGACCTAGCGAGTCCTGAGTATGTTCAATGTCACTTAAAATCGTAAAGGAGCTTCTGTCAGTGGATGGGACGAACAACGACAGAGTAGACAAGCACCGGCGCCAGCCCTCATTGCCAGAGTGTCCAGCGTCTGCGGCTCTGCGCTTCGTGTCCGTCAGTGTCTGTCACTGTCAGACACTGCCTGTCACTGCCAGCTCTCAGCTGCCGCTGTCTTCTGCAGTGCTGACACCACTGCGGAGCCCTGAACCCATCCGAGACCCCCCAGCGCCCTCATCGAGCGGCAGGCTGACCCATCCGTCCTCCACTGCAAGCTATTAGACGCACACCAGCAACAACAGCGTTCACTACCCCGGCGCAACCCACCGCGTGTCCCAGCGCGGAGACAAAATCACCGCAGCAACAGAGCGACCAAGAGGCGCCAGCCAGCACGACTCAAACGGTGCGATAGAATCTTCCACACGCCAGTGCGGCCGCTGGTATCGTGTTCCAGCCGACGCGCACGTTACGAAATTCGCCACCGAGCTATTTACGTCGGCCCGAATCAGCTGGGTAAGTGAGCAAGCGTGTACTCCGGCGATTGGTCGCTGTTGTCTGCCGTTTGTTCTCTCTAAAGCCGCATTATGCATTCTCCCAATAGTCGTCGCTCACGAATGCGGCAGTCGGCTCAGACGCTCGGCAATCCGATTAGATTTTGGCCAGTTTTCAGCCTGTTTCCGGCGACAACAGATTCCGATGAAAAACGGCGCGTGCGTCAGTTGAGAATTGAGAAATACCCGTCGAGCGAGACGTCGAACACGACGAAGGGCGACGGATCGGATCGCAAAGATGACCGACCAATCAAGCATCGACAAGCTAAGCCGAAACTCACGCATCGCGATAGAAAAAGACATACATGAAAGGCCCGCAGACTTTGAGCAATGGAAGCATTATTAATTCAGCTTCAATGCGATGCGATACATCGCAGTGACATCCCACAATGCACATCTAAGGTTTTTCGACGTCAGAACAACAATGTCACCGAAAAACTTCCCGATAACAATGCGACCAGTAGCGATAACATTTACAACCGATATTCGGCTCCCGCGACCTAAAATACCGTGCCATTTTTGCCGACACAAAAAGGCGATTTGTTCGGTCACGCAGCCGGCATGTGTGCACCAATCAAGGGTTTGTTCGCGTGCCGGGCAATGTGCGACGAGACAGGACCATCCGTCTTTGGGACGAGGTGGCCACAACGCAGCCCACGCGTCCTACATAGCTGGGACAAGTTAGCAGTCGGTTGCTGAATCGCTGACCATAGGATAGTCCGGAAACATCGGCGGCAGAGGTAAGCAGGATGTTTCCGACACATCAGCAGCCGCTATGTCGCATGAACACCAGCCGCCTGTGACTTACGGTCAGTCAGCAGCCCCCCCCCCCCCCCCGGCACGAGGCTGGACCCAGCCCCGTACCAAAATAAACACAGCGGCGGGCCGGCATGGCACGGCGGCGACCGCTGACTGCCCGCCTGCAGCCCGAGGCATGCCGTTAGTGCGGCCTGGCGCACCGGTCCGGACATCATCAGGTCACTGCCACCGACGCGCCGGGGCGCGGCCAGAGACCGGACGGCATTGGACGGGCGGTGTTTGCCCGGAAGGCGTCGCTCGCGCTGCGGGATCGTCACAATATAATTGAGGCCAGACGACGCAGGGATGTATTTCATTGCTGGTGCTACAGAGGCCCGGCTGCCATGGGCATTGAACAATGGACGGGACATTTGTGCGAATGCCGTGTAATGCACATCAGAGCAGCAGCGTTGTAGCTACTCATTACACATCCTGTCGTAAACGAACAATGACACATGCAATGCCGCCAGTACCAGCTACTGGTGCAACTGCGCTCGGCGGCTCACCCGTTCCCTGCAGCCAGGGCTCAATGTTATCCCCGGTCGTCGAGTGCCCGGCGACACCGTCCCGCCCCCATCACCGTTCCATTGCGCGGTGACAGGACATCAATCTACGGTCACTGCGGGCCCCAGTCACCCCGGACAGTGCCGGGCCGCGACGGAGCAACAACAGGCGACGATGGACGCTGATGATGGTCAGATGCGGCCGGCCGTTAGCGACAATTCGCCAGTCATTGCAGCGCGAGATGCCGACCTCGTCCCGGTCCGAGCGGCCCCGGCCCGGCCCACACCAGCCAGACGCCGGGACGGAGCGGCCGCTTCCATCAACGTCATCAGAGCTGATTTGCAATGCCGATTACATTTCGGGTGCATTGGAACAATCAGAGGCCGCTCCTCATAAGGGCGGCCGCAAAACGACCACTCTTGTGTGTGCGTTTCTCGGCCCCGGGCGGACGGAAAGAAGTCGGTTCTATTTTGCATAGTTTTACGGTACACCGCAGCGCGCACAAATGGTGGGTGATGGAACAAATGCGACTCGAAATTACGCCACTCGGGATATCTACATTGGATAGTTTGTGATAAGACGAAAACCCCGGCGTCTATTCTCGCGCAGCACCCGTTCGCTGACGACGACCGTCTTGGAAACAAAGTCGGCCGTTTATATACAGCGTGTCAGCTCCTCGCCAGGTGCCCGCCGTTCTAAACTGGGCTCCACGGCCCACGCCTCCTTACCAGCCGTGTGCCTGCCTGTCATAACCCCACCGTTCATCCATCAAAGCTATATTCGCACACCCACCGCATACCAGTGCTGTGCTCGACGTGTCTATAGTTAGGCGGACGCCTGTCAGACGCCCTATTACGAGCAACTGCCAATGGCAGCCCTTTGCCTCCCTGTCGCCAGTCGCCACCATGTATATCCGATGCACCTTAGCCTGTCATACCCAGTGTCCACTGCCCATCCATATCCACCACAGCCACGCCACGCCACCGTCCGCTCCAATGTGCCCGCCGGTCTGTATAAATGGGCGAGGAGGCCGCGCCAGGCGCCGGGCGCGGTTGTCGCACCGGTGCATTGTTCGGCGTCACCAGCTGGCACGCGCCGGCGGCGTCCGTCCGAGCCGTGGGCTGGTCGGTACCGGCAGGCGGCACCGACACTCCCACAGCGGCCATGGGACGGTACAGAGGACGACAGTCGGGACAGTATACAGAGGGGCGGCAGTTGGGGACGGTATACAGAGGACGACAGTTGGGGACGGTACACGGTGGATAACGGAGGACCGCATTTACATGGTGGACAGTAGCTGCAACCGGGGACGGTACACGGCCAGCAATGAGGGAGGGGAGGCCGTTTACATGGCGGACAGTAGCGGTGCACGGGGAGAATACTCGGTAGCCAACGCCAGTGGCACGATGCAAAGAACGCTACATGGCGAGCAATACCATAAGGTTACGGGCCATACAGCCGGTAGCGGCATAAGTGCAGGTGGTGTACGGCAGTTAATGATAGTATCGGACAGCATGAACAGAATATGATTTTGAAATGCGTTACGTGTCAGTATAGACTATAGAATTATAGATCCACCTGTAATCAACCGATAAGTGAACATTCATGTCACAAGCGGTATACGAGGGCAGTCAAGGACCAACGCCGTCGCCCACGACCGCCTTCAAAACGACATTCCTAATAGGAATAGCC